AACCCAGCTTCCTGCTTTGTTTCTATTCCCTGAGCTCTTGAGCTCCAGAAGCCTTAACCGCCTTCTAGGTCACCAAAATCAGAGAGACCAAAATATCACTTGCCGACCAGCCCGGGCTCCGGGCTCAGCCTGCCCTCTGCTCGCAGAACCGGCTGTTGGACTTCCTCCTCGAGCGGCAGCGTGCCGCCAAGGTCCTTACTCCCGCATCATGCCATCTAACTGCTAACTGATATGTCCTGCTGCACTGGGCTGTAGTTTTATGGTTTCAAAGTCTTTCGCGTGACCCGTTGATGTGGAAGTTGCAGTCGAGGCTTTGTAGGAAGCTACTGCGCATCTTTCACACGAGTTTCCCGCACGCAGGCAGAAGCCCTGTCGGAGCCGTTTCTTCTGCTTCTGCCGTCCTGGACTGCCGGGAAGGCGGCTAGACGGGAATAGCACTTCACACGCTCCTCCTGACTCGGTTGAGAAAGTTGTAAAGTTGTAAAGGACTGCGACTGCATCGTGTTTGGCACAATTCTTTGTAGCAACTGATGGGAGGTGCTGGGCCCTCAGCTGCGGATCGGATTAGTCTTGTTTGCAGGCCTTTTCCAAGAAACTGTATAGTATTCATAAAATCCCTGGAATCCGGAACGTCTTAGAAATACAGGCTAATCGGCTAATCCCATACAAAATCCAACTCCCAAAATTTTATTTTCTATATACCCAACAACATAGAATCAATAATCCCCGACTAACTGCATGGACTTTAAAGCCTTTACACTGCTAAGGTTTGGAAAACATATGCAAAATCCAATAAGCCACCTGAAATCCCAATTCTGTTTGCTTGAAATCCAGGCCTTTTACCGGAAGTTCCTGCGGGCCTTGGCTCGTCTTTGGGAGGCCCAGCGCGCAAGCGCCCGTCTCGCGGACCTAGGCCGTGTAGTAGGCCATAGTAGGCCTGGTGGGCTTTGAGGTCTTATGGCGCCACCATTAGTGAACACGTCAACTGAGACCACGGTGTCAACAAGCAAGACCTGGATGCCCGATCTTCAACATTCCGAGTCTGGCTGGGCGTCATCACCTGAGGGTTCGGGCTCAGTTGGTTTTGGAGCAGAATCGCTCTTGCAACAGTCTTCAGCACAAGCACGTAAGAATTTGCCATGCTACCGGTGGGTGCTTCAAGATGGCAAAGGATGTAGCCCGAAACAGCCACATGATAACTGTGAGCTGCCCGAACATCTTCTGGGTTGGCAAGGTTCAGGGTTGCAGAATTCAAGCCTCCACGTAGCACAGCGAGTGCATCACAGTGAATGAAGCACTGTCGGCGGGTACTGCTCGCGTCTTGCAGCCGCCCTTGCAACTCACAAGCCCTGATCCCATGCAGTGCAGGCGCCGGCCAGTGGCCGTGGGCGCGAAGAGCACGCCGCGGGGGTGTGATCCGCCGAGCAGAGAGTGGTTTTGATCTGGTTTTGCGCTGCAGAGAGTTCACGGTTTGGGGTCTAAGAGTGATTGTCGAATGTGGGAGATTTGGAATCCGAAAGCTGCTGCAGCTGCGGTGAGTTTTTGATAGTTGTTCGCAAGCTTTTGCGTAATTCTGGTCGCCTCAGCCAAGGCCGCGTAAATTTAAGAGAACCAAAGCTGCGGAGTTCAGCCCAAAAGCCCAAACCAAACTCCAACGGAGTCTAGACATGAAATCCGAAGCTTGAGCCCCAGCACAGGTTTTACGTGTGCAGGCGAGGTGCGCAGGGAAAGCCGGCTACTCGGCACGTCGCGTTAAGCCGAGCAGGACTAGGCAGGGGGACGGAGCTAAAGAAGCTGGACAACATCATCTTTCATCATCGAGCAATAGCCAATGGCCTTCAGCGCCGCAATTCCGGAAAGACCGTTTTGCTTGTTGCAGTCGTCGTACCGGCATGTGTAGTAGTACAGGCGTAGGGTATGGCTACGGTCGGCACCACAAGAAGAAGAAGCCTCGATAGCGGCCGGAGGACTCGCAGCGACCAATTGGCATGGCAACACCACCACCGCCACCCTTCACCAGTGCTTCAATTTTTCCGGCAGGGCTTCCAGCACAACTTCGCAATTACTCGATCATCGACCCTAGCACACATCAGCACTTGTTGTGCATGCAGCAGGCAGTTGAAAATATCGACAGTGCGCCGACAATCTGGTGAAGATGACACGACTTTCGGTCTTCCCGGTCTTGGGCCCGCGTAATGACATGTCTCTTGAGAAGCACGTCGCAAAGGCCTCGTAACACCTGGCAAAAGCGAGCTTAGGGCTCAGGTGTTGGACACCGAGTCTGCAAGAACAGAGAAGTTTAAGGAACTCACACAGGCAAGCCGCTTCGCCCTGCGAACTCACCGTCTCGAGCAAAGGAAAAGTACAGCTTCGACCACGTGGCGGGAGCGGGGAGGCAGGGAAGAATAGAGTTTCACTCTCCCCAAAGGGCAAGCTAAGACTCTCGAGCTGGCTCCTGTGAGAGGCTGACGTGCCCATTCTTCGGGATTTGGATCTGCGGCGGCTTCGGCGAGGCAAGACCTTTCTGCATGGGATGCGCAGGGTCTGCAGGGTAAACGCACCACGGAGAGGCCGCCGCCACCAACCGCGCTTTGAAAGCCGCAGCGCGCGGCCGCGCCGAGGGTCTTTGGGAGGGCACTTGGCCACTGGTCTGCCGAGTTCTTGCGCAAACGGCTTCTGCATGGCATGGGGGACCATGGGGAAGCAAGTTGTCTGCTGCGATGCGTTCAGACAGGGTCCTGACTCTGACAACCAGCATGACAAACCACAGCCTCAACCCGGAGCTCAGAACCGTTACAAGATGACAAGACCACGATATTTCACTCTCTTGGCGGAAGCTCGCAAACGTGATCGCTAAGCACCGCTAGTTCAGGAATCGGGATTACTTCTTCACTGTTCAGAGTACTTCCTCCTGTGCTTCGTCTAGACCAGGCGTACAAGCATGTGTGACGTTGCAAGCGCTGCATCAAGGCACTCCTGTCGCCCGTTGCCTCCCGACAACGACGAGGCCTTGACATCACTGGCCGAGCTGCGTGATGAGAGGTCTTGTGTGGAAGAGCAATCAGCGACTTGCGGGTCCGACAGTGGTGTTTACTTCCATGGCTACAGAAAGCAAAAGCTCGAGGGTCAGATGCAGGCTTCGACTCTCACGGCCTTGCCCCCCCGAAAGTAGCCTCCCCGGACTGCAGCTTGCTGGCAAGACAGGAAGCTGCGACCACCAATGTCCGCTGGCTTGAGGCAAGCACTTTCAAATGTGCCGCACCAGCAGAAACGCTTGCGTTTGGTTGCCGTTCGACTGAGGGTAGAATTTGTTCAGTTGGCTAGTGCTTGCAGGAGTGCTCGCCAGGGCCTAGGGCCTGGGGCCAGGCCTCCCCCGTTGTCACCTCTGTGCAACCCGTTGCTGGACCACAAGAGCATTTTTGCATGGGCACCCCAATTTAGAAGCCTTTGAAGACGTCACTCCGGACAAGGGAGAAGGCTGGAAAAAGCATGCACCGCCAAACACCTCTCGCCGGCAGATCCTTAAACCCTTACACATGCGGGTTCCCAGCTGCTCCAAGCCGTCTTGGAGGTGCAGGGTGGGGTTTTCTTCTGGTGTGGGAAGCACATGGACCACGTTCCGACAAGCTTCGCTCTCGGGCGAACTTCACCTATGCTGGACGAGCAGTGGTGTTGGCACTTGCTGTTTCGGAACAGCACTTCGACTCTCAATCCCAAGTCCGAACAACTGTGCCCAAGAGGATGAGACCTGGAGCGAGCTGCCCAACGAGCACCTTCGCGGAGGCGATTCCTGGAACACTGATAACAAGCAGCCGGTATCCTTCCTTTAAAATATCCTTGTACCGATCGAAGGTGTCAGGCGAAGAGGCTTCAAAGGTCAAGCAGCTGTGTGCAAGCGGAGTGCGAAGAGGCTATGTATCTGGTTTGGATGTGAGTGACGGTCACCAAAGAACCCTGCCAGCCGTCTCGATGCGCCCAACTACATCATCTAGAAGACACCAACAGCATACCGCATATCTAAAGGACCATCTCTTGCACTTGAACGCCAAAAGGGCGAGTGTCACCATCAATCGGGAAACGCCCGACTGCACGCACCACGTGTACAGGAGTCTCTTTCACTCCCAAAATCTGCAGGTCTGCTTCTCCTCCGCGATGGGTGCGCTCTGGAGGTGCGCACATTCAAGAGCTCAGAGCTTAAAGGCTGACTTTCCCAAACAGTTTCGCTCGAGGGTTACAAACGAACTCCAAAACCGCTTCGAAGCTCCAAAACGGCAGGCCGCGGGCCTCCTTCGCACTGCAGCCGAGACAAGGAAGCGCCAGGAGCGATGCAGCTCGGGAGACTAAGGGTAAAGTGGCCTCCGCCAGTTGCTGGACAGAGTTCAGAAAGAGATTTTCAGAGTATGTTCCAGAGCTGAAAGGCAAGCAGAGCATGGCCCATGGGCAGCGAAGCATCCGAAGTTTGCTTCTGATCTGAAGCCAGGGCTGATGTGGTTCTGACACCAAGCAATCATTGATGTTTTTGATCCTTCAAAACCCGTGGACCCAGGGACCTGGGGCTTCAGGCTTCCGATTCTGAGGAGAAGTCTTCGAGGGGAATTTCCTGTACATTGACAGGGCTTTTGCATATGCGAACAAACAGCCCGGAGCCTTGTTGTACTTTGTAGCCGAACTCTGCTCAGGTGGAGAGTAGTGCGTTCGCTGTTTTGAGTGTGTGCCACGTCGCTGCTCTGGCCTGGCGTGGCTCAAAGAAGGTTGCTTCAGGGATTAGAGTGCTGGAGGAGACGTCCCAAGGCATCCCATACCGAGCATATGGCACATCGACTTCCTGGGCAGCACAAAACAACTGCTCTTATGAAGAAAATGCTGAGCTGATGGTTATTTATCAGTCGAGTCTTTTACTGCGCTGCTCCTGAGACTGGAAGCAGCCCTAATACCCACAACTTCGTCACTCCAAGTTTTGTACAGCTGGTTTCAAAAGATCTCTACACCTTGGCTTAGCCATGACCATTACCGTCCATGCCTCTCTGCTGAGTGGTCATGGCATTTCCTTGGCAGCAGAACCTCACTGGGACACTGGGCCGATGGTACGGGGGTTGTCAGGTTTGACTCGTTTGACTAGTCAAGTCATCAGAGATGAGGCGTGCGAGGAGGCGTTGCAAATCCTTTGGGAGCCTCCTTGCCAACGCTCTTGCTGTGTCCTTGACATCGTGCGTTGAGCTGCGGCGCCTTCTTTGGGAAGGGGCGCCTGGCGACGGCTAGTATCGAATCCAACCGGTCCACACTTGAGAACGTAGGTAATCCCATTGAGAAGCCCTGCGCCCGGCTTTTCAGGATGTGGGGTCTTTATGCCTCAAGGTCCAGCAGGAGCCACTTGCCTCAGAAGTCATAAAGGACTGCCGGAGATGATGTTAGTAGCCCAGGCTTTTGGTTATGAACTGCAGTGTGTTTCCGAGAAGAGAGAGCCTTCGGCTAGGACTACGAGGAATTCGGCTTCCTAACCGTGCAGCCTTCAGGGACCATCATGCACGGTTTGCTAGACTCACTCACGATTTGCTGATCCCCCGTTCAGCAGTTGTGGTTGCGGCCCGCATGTACCGTTTAACTTATACATTGCATCTACAAGCTTCCTGCTACTCGGGCTTGCTTGTCCCTATAGAAAAGTAGTTTTGGAAAGTCGCTTTCACGGCTCCGTTACTTTCAAAACAACTTCGAAGGCCATCCGCCAGAGAAAAGGGGGCTTAGTGCGAAAGCCCACGGAGAAGCGACATCCTAGGCTGGGTCTGAGCCGGATCAAGGTGGTCACTGCCCGTGGTACAGTGCCCCTGCTGAGAGGGAGAGGCTCAGGTGAAGGGATGAAGAATGTGTGGCTTCACGCAGGCAGCACGAAGCATCGAATCCCAGGAAGCCTTTCCGAGCATGCATTTAAGCATTCGTAGTTCCGCCAGGAAAGTCGAGCCAGTGCCATTGAGATGCCCCATCATTCGGCCATCGTGCCTTCACGATCAGCAAACGCCGTTCTTGGGCTCCTTCCAAACTGCACTCGACAGGTCTTGGGCGGCGCCGCCACTTTACAGGAGGCTGCTTGTTGCCTGTTGTAGCTACTTCGCGCTCGCATTCTAGAGGCGGCATGCATCGCCGAGCAAGCCTGGAAAGCTTCAGAGCACAAGACCCCGATACCTTGGCTCCCAGCTGCCCAGAGGCTGGCATAGAGGATGGCGAGGCGCTGGGGGTAGTGGTCAAGGACTCCGAAAGCGTCCAGAATCACGAATCTCCCCTCCCCGAAAAGTAGTGTTGACTGAATTGTCGTTGAGGTCCTCGCATCTACCAGCCCATGCACCCGGAAGCAAGTCTGCGTCCTGCTGCATATGTTGTTACATGTTCGCTGCAGCCACTGGCCCCGCTTTTCCACATGCGGTTTCGCTTACACAGGCGTTGCTATTGGCATCGCCACCCCCTTTAAGAAAAAAGCGCACTATTGTGGCCGCCAGTTGCAACACTAGCACGCGCTGTGCTGCTGCGCAGGACATAGAGATTGTTGGCACCTATGACGGCAGGCAGGGGCGGGCTCAAGAGCTTGCGGCCAAGCTCTCGGCTGTTGAAATGCCTGCTAAGCCTGCCCGAGACCCCTCCCAAACATGTACCTAGTTCCAGGCCCGAAGCCGCGGGCATTTTATTCAACTTCTGAATTGGAGCAAAGATCATGAGTAGAATGCCTGTCCGCAGGGCATTTGCGATGATCGGTCGCGACGGCAACCTCTCCGCAAACTTGAAATCATGCCGTTCACACAGGAGCCAGGGAAGTCATAGGGAAGCCTCAGAAGCGCCCGATGTCTTTCCGTGAACGACACTCCTACTGGGCGAACTAAGTCGATACCTACAGGCCTGCTGTATCTCAACAACCCGTGCTGTCGCAGAGGTTCAACTTCCTTGGTTCGGATGAGATTGGCCCTCCGATGTTCTCAGAGTCAGGCTAAACAATTATGGCATGCGCCGCCATGCAGCATCATTGATCGGACAGGTCGCAAAATACTCAGAGAAGCTAGTGCGCCAAGGTCCGTCCAGTTATGCGCTGCTTGCTTCGACCCGAAGCCGAGGTTCTGTTGTGACGTGGGGACAAGACTCTTTGGGCGGCGATAGCCTCTCAACTTCAAAATGGTTTCGCATGGATGCTATCACTTCCGATTCCTCAATTAGGTCCTGGGTTGTCCGGCTATCTCTCGTAGACGGATCAACCTCACGTGCCACGTAGCATCGCAAATCTGAGAGTCATGCGTCATTTAACACTTTGAGATTTCCTGCATGTCGTGCTTTGCTTTCCAGGCACCGAAGTTCAACATCAGCTGCGAAACGTGCAGCAGATCAAAGGAACCAGAGGAGACGTTTGAGATTGGCACTGCTTCCTCCGCGACGATGATTGTCTCAGCACTTCCGCAACCAAGGTCTGACGAGACCTTCAGGCACGTAATCAAGAAGATAACTTTGTGATTTTGATACATCGCACTGGTCCACAAAAGTCTCGGAAAGTTGTGACCCTCCGAAGATCTCAAACCTTGTAAAACTGCCTGCCGAAGCCTTCCGTATGCAGAACTTGGCAGGAGCCTTCGCTGCCATATTGGAGGACAGCTCGCACTGCGCTTACCTCGAAATTTATCCTAGATTTGTTTTTCCCGTTGAAGGCTTTCCCACCCCTCAGGCCGACTCAGGCCGGCAAACCCGGCAAACCGGTCCCTGCGCCTGGAGGATGGATCTGTCTGCACCTGGGGGGAGACGCGCCAGGATGTGACGTTTGAGGCACTTGCGAGAGCACCTTCAACATGCTTTGATGAAGCACCCAAAAATTGCAGGGCTTGGTGAGAAGGTGGCTGAGGTGCATGCTCCGAGGATTCCTGCAGTCTTTACCTTGATCTCTGCGCCGAGCTAGCGAACATTGGCGAACATGTGTACATGTGAACACAAACACACACCCTTGACACGCAGGGATATGCATGAGTACGTGCATCCGCGAACGCACACGTCATCGTATGAATACAAAGACGTATTCATTTACGCACGTGTACTATCTTGGCTCTGCCCTGCTAGCTTTCTGCCAGCGCTACTGTTGCTCGAACTTTCAAGGCACCTGCTGATCCCTTTCGGGTGGTGCTTGAGAGATCCAGGGTTCTGCAGGCGAACTGAAGCTGAACTCGCGGTCGTAATTTCAGGGCCGAAAGCTTGATACTGATTGTGCGAAAAGGCCGTCTGCCCTGAGCTCCGGGACGTCCGAAAGCTCCAGGCGCCAAGAAACCTGAACCGGATACAGCTGGGGCTTTCTACCTCCTTCATAGTTATGTATAAGTTATTTTTATTTGAGGGTCATGTAGGCTTGGGTGTGGCGTCTTTGGTTTGGCTCGGGGTTTGGGTCTAGGAGCCACGCGGTAATCTCAAACCCATGCCTGTGCTTGGGCATGGCCGGAGGCTCTTCGCATTTGGGGCTTTCTGGTTTCAACCCTGCAGGCATTGAGTCGAGAAGCCGAGCCTCATCAGAGCTTGGGCTTGGATTTGAGCGGTTTTAGTCTGCTGTTTTCGGCCTCAGAACTCAAGCCAAAATCACAGATCCTGGCCACGAAAGACCTAGAGCCCAAGTCTCAACCCATGGACAAAGACAAGACAATTCAAAAGTTTCAGTGCACAGGCAGACAGGCACTTCAAGGGGGCAGGGAATGCATCAAAGCCCCCCAGCACCACGGATGAGCCCCAAACACCCCCAAATTGAGCCCCCCAAGTCATTGACTGAGTATAGTATCGGCAGTTAATGATAACAGTGGTAACGGTATTGCTATGGCCCCATTACGTCATTTAGGCGTGCGGGGGCCGACTGCAGGCTTGTAGTCTTCACACTGAGTCGTTGGGAGTTCTTGTCTGTGGCTACTGCTGAACTGCTGACACTTCAGCCCGAGCCAACACGGACTACTCGTGGATCCTCCCAACTACAAAAATACCCACCTGTATGTGGGGCCGGGGAGAAGCTCACAGGCAACTACGAGCGTGGGAAACAGAGAGACTGTACCATGCAGCCGCCGGGGTTAGGGCCCGCTGCGGCGCGTGGTCTTCCTAGAAGGCTATCGGTCCCAACGGCCCAAATGACAAAGGTATTCATCCAGCCCTTTAATCACAAACGAGCCTTATCATCATCAGAGGGTTGCCAGCCGCGCATCGGAAGAGTGTCGATGCCCCTAGAAAAACGAGATATGCCGGGTGCACCGAGACGGCTCAAAGGTTTGTAGGACAGATCAACGAGGGCTGAGCCCGACCGGCACAGTATCCGCAAGGAGTAAACCAATAAAGGCATTATTCGCGACATCGACAACTCAACTTCGATGATAACTAAAACTATGACTAAGTGATGGTCAAAAGAGTCATCATTATCATCATCGTGATCATCATAGCGACCACCATCAGCATCCTCGTCATAACAGAAATATGGCAGCGAACGTAGCAATGCCAATACCAACAACGACAACGACATCCACCAGATTGCTAGTACTACAAAAGCCCTAGACATGTCGACAAAGTAGCAATAACAATAACAGTAAGAGTAATGTCAGCAGCAGCGACGACCACAACCACAACCACAACAACAACAACCACAACCACAACAACAACAACAGCAGCAACAACAACATTGAAAACAGCAGTAGCAACAATAACAGCAACGATGTCATTGACGACGATGGCGGCAGCAACAGCCGTAATACTTACTGCAAGCTGCAAGAAGAAACATGACAAGAAGACGAAGAAGCAGAGCAGCGACAGCTACAACAGCAGCAGCGGAACTCGTCATCGGCGCAAGAAGCAGCACTGTGACCTAGACGTCCAAGCTGAGACAACTCCAGCAAACATTGCATTGGGGTTTGGCTCATGGCGATTATGACTAAAAGCGCCATTTTCTGACAGCATCAACGTCGATGCATCAAACGGCCAACCCTTACGCCAAGTCCTCGGCGCTGTGTGCGTCGTTCTACAATAATCGTACCATTGGTGTGGTTTATCCTCCTGAATTCATAATTGCTTTGTCGTTGCAGCAAGCTCGGGGGTGTGGTCTATTCTTTTCCTTTGCTTATGTTCTCAGTACTGATAGCTGCTGCAAGTGAGTCGAGACCCCCTGTATGCACTGTGAAGCTTGCCAAAGCGAATCGTGGGAAATCGTGCCGGGGAATCGTGGCAGAACCACTCTGCAGTGGCGCATTTGGGCGGCCAAGCTGTGCATTTTGCGCTTCCTTCGCGGATAAAAAAAGAGCATTACCCGGAGAGGAGCACCAACGCGCTCATACGTCTTTCGCAGCGGTTGTGCGGAACACGAACGCGAGAGAGGTGGACAGAGACAGACAGACACAAATAAACATGTCGACTTCCTCAAACTCTGAAAACAAAGATGCTTGAACTTGTGTGCCTGTCAGCCACAATCGTGCCTAAAACGAACCTTCAAGGACACCAAAAGATTTCAAAAATGGAAAACAAAGCGGAAGAGGCGAGCTTCGGCGCTTTTGCGGCGGTTCGGGGAGACGGAAGGGCCAGGACCCCAGGGAGGGAGCATGCGTTTCAGGCTGTAGTTGATGTGGTTATGTTTGGTGCAGGATATTGCAATACTCTAGTCTTGGGTGCCGAGATACAGATACATGTTGTGTGTCGGATGCTGGGGAGTTCGATTCTCAGTTTGAGGTTTTTTCGATCCTGCGGAAAGCTTGGCGAACTTGGTAACTGCCCCAAATCGGAAATGCATCATGGGATACCTCTACTTACATACGCTTAGGGTACCTCTGCTTAGAAGGATTGCTTTGGTTTTCAGACCGATTAATCGTACGGGCAATTGAAGCGACATACGTCAGGGGGCCAAGTATGTTGAAGGATTGAATGATGAATGAAACCGCATGTTAGCTTTGTCTTCGTTTCAGGCAACTCAGAGCAGCCTCAAAGTTCCCTGATGTCGAAGCTTCCTTGAAGCTCCGCATGATCCGTAAGGGGCCCAATCCAAGTTCCCTCCCAAACCCGAGGTGGTTGCATGGGGTAGCCACAGCCACGGCGGGCGCAGCCTCGGCTCTAAACCGGTTAAGGAGTCCGTGCTGCTTCTGGGTTTTCGGATTTATTGTTGCTGCGACACAGTCAATATAGGTGCTGTTAACATGAAAGAAACAATGACCAACATATTGCCTTCCCTGGGTGATCACAAGCGCAGAGTCGTAAGCGAGTTCCTCCCTGAAGATTCTGGGTGTTGGATTCTATGTGCAACATAGTATGCAATAACTGGAGCACTTTCTTCACATCTTGCCAAAACGGTTGTGTGGGAGACAACTCAATCATATCCCCAAACCGGCCGTTGGCTTTCGCCATTTTCGCCTTTCGTTGCAGAAATCTGAGGCATCACTGGAGCTTTGAAGACCAAACTCCAGTTCGTGCGGGACCCGCCAAGACAACTGAATCTCTCTGGCTATACTTTCTAGTCTTTGCGGGTTGAGAGGTTGGCAGTGTGAACGTAGACCAGCTGCGTTCTCAGCAAGGCTATCGCTGAGGACTCCTGCACTATTCTCAGAGAGATGAAGCAAATCTTGCTCGGAGCGCCTGCGAATGGGTGCCCATCACACAGTCAGTTCCTGAAGATGTAGGTGAAAGGCGGCGCAGCTGTGCAAGCACGCGACGCTTTAGACCAGACTACAAACAACGTGCGATGCCGTCAGACGGAAGAGTATGCTTCGAGATGGTTTATGTGGGATGTGTGTGGCGATGCCGTAGAGTGAACATCTAGTCAGGCTTGATTAGACCTGTTTCGGTCTGCAACATGCAACCTCCACATCATGCCATCTTGGAGACAGTCCCCTCCTAATATTCTGACTGTACGTCCCCTAGACTTCACGCCCTTCGAATCGACTGCAGCCGCAAACAGGACATCGAAGCAACTGGCCTGGCTTTTGCAGCGTTATGCGCTGATGGTTCGGCGACCGGGCAATAAGAATCGGCTTGGGGCTTTCAGCTTGGCTGGGTTACAGGGTTTGGGCTTGTGGAGGCCGACAGGTGCAGAGCTGGTACTAATAGCTTTAACTATAGGATCGACAGCTTGAAAAACCCGTTGGACATCCATATGTGCAAGCTTCACGAGGCTTCGCACTCTTAAGGGATTCTGAGTCAGAACTCCTACTGCACGCACTCTTTAGCGTCGGAGATGGACAGAGCAAGCTGAACGACACTTGCAAGGCTGCAGGCGAAGGCGACCTACTGTAACCACCATTGTTGCTTCTGATGAACCGCAGGCATGGACAAGCCCAACATTAGCTAGTCCGAGCCATCAACATGTTTCGGTCTTGCATTGACTAGAATACATGCTGCCAGGGCACTTCTTGGTCATCCGAAGATTGCATCTGCAAAGCAGAATCGACGATCTTCCATCCCTGAAACAAAGCCAAGCCAGAAACGAATCCGGTGTGGAATTGCGAGACCTCGACGGAAAATGATGTAGAATGTCAAGCTGCCGCGGCCTTGAAGACCCCACGGCTATGGCAACTTCCGCTGTCAAGCTCTCCACCCACCCACACACGCACACGCACGCACGCGCATACACACACACACATGTAGTTCTCCGGTAGAACCGGTTGTCCACTTCTTCTTTTCCCTTTCATCTTTGTCATCTCTTTTGTCGTCGTAGTGCTATTCTTAATCTTAATGAGCCTGAAGGAGCCTTGTGCAACTACACTGCGCTGTATCAGAAATTGATGCAAAGAAGATGTAGAAGCAGTACAACTTCCAAATTCACCATTGGCATATTGGGACTCAAGGCTGACCGTCATCTGGAAAGGGGTAGTGAATTCTTTGCAGGTACGCTGGGTTGATCAGACCCAGTATCAGCCGTGGCAAAGCCCTCTTGGTTGGGCAACCAGCTATGCTACGGGGTTGCGCCCCTGCATTCTAGTATTTGAATGTAAACTCAGCCCGAAGACTTGCTTAATCGTTGCATTAAAGGACATTGGGTACAACTTCGTTGGAGACAGGATTTCCACACACACACACACACGCGCACACGCACAAAGACACACACACACATACATACATACATATACACACAGACACAGTACCTCACTCCTGGATGCCAAACTTCCAGGTGGTCGCGTGGGGTCACCAGGACTCGGGTGGCGACTGCCGCGCTGTGGCTGATCGGCTCCAGGAGGTTTGGAAGGCGACGTTGGGAAGGGGAGCGAAAAGCCACAAAAAGAGCAGTGGGAACTTGACTCCGGGTTACTGGGCATGGGGCTCTGTCAGTGTTCGAAAAAGTGTAGGATGATCGTAAGGTTCTCGGATTTCGGGCGGAAGGCTGCGGACTTCCAAGAAGAGCTCTTCTATAGCAGAAACAGCAAAGCTCATGATTTGACGAAGGGCTCTGTGCGAATTTTACTCAATGCTCCTATGTTTTTTGTAGAACGATTTCCGAATCGCATGCAGTCCAGCACCTGAAATTTTCAAGCCCACCACCTCGTTGCGGAGGTTAAGAGTACAAGAGCAGTTTGATGAGGCATGGGCGCGCGTGTGCATGTGCATAATGTTGATCCCCCAGAATCCCAGCCCCTGTGACCTTCCCCTGGCGTGTTGATGCGCTCACTGACTGGCTCGGGAACTATGCAGATCCGGTCCACCATGCACGCGTTCGCCGCCATCCGCAAAGACGGCACAGTGACTGGACATGCATCAAGACAGTGGGCGTTGTGGCAATTGGTTTACCAAGACGCGTGTTTGCGCTCCGGCTTATCCGGCTTCCCTTTGTCCAAGGTCGTGACTTGGGGCCGCGTCGATGCAGGCGGCGACAGCAGCGCTGTGCAGACGCAGCTCACTGGCGTGCGGGAGCACCTCCAAAGCAGGGCAGACGGGTGTGCAGATTTTCAGTTCGACTACTGGCGGCAGCCTCGGCTAAGGGGTGAAGCATGAAGGCCAAGAAGGATGAGTTGAGGTTGCCAGAGATGCCCAAGGCCCAGTGAGCACGGGGTATGACAGTTTTTCTTGAAGCTGAGTTTGAAACCAAAAACAGTGAGAAACTTCTGGTTCGGTCTGTAGACGTCACAGCTGAAAAATCACAACAGCAAAGTTCTCAGCCAGATTGTGCGCAGCAATTTGTGTGGACACGCTTGCAGAGTCCCAGGATTGCATCGACGGGCTACGCTTTCGCGGCCATCCGTGACGATGGCAGCGTGGTGACTTGGGGCCGGAGGCTGTGCAGCAGTTGTGAGTAGTTTCGCAGCCTGGTGACGAGCATTCGAGATAGTTCATTCAGATCGCAATGTTGCAGATCAAGGGTGTGAGCTGGCAGTTGTGTTGCAACTTATGCAACCAGTGTTTGGAGGAGATATTGGAAGGAGCTCCAGATGCAAGAGTACTGATCTGTGGAAAAGCAACGCTTGATTCATTGCATCTCCTCGGCGGGGAGCAAGCTTCAAAGACTTGAACTCACCACTTACAGCACTTCCCTCCAATTGCCTTTCTAATTTTGGAAACAGCGCATAAGAACGCTAGTTTTTCTGGTCTTGAGCAGCCTCCAATGGGCCAAGGAGCGAGCATGGAGGTGACAGCCGCAAGATCCAGGAGCACCTTGTGAACGTCAAGCACGTGCAGGCGCTGCAATCGGAATCTGCATGCTTCTTAAGAGTCTTTACATGCCTTGAAGAATGCCAAATCCATTTGGTTTGCATCAACCTGACGATTCCAGCGACAGCCGTGCAGGGCTCCGTCAGCACGTTTGCCGCCATAGTGGGTGATGGCAGCATCGTGGCATGGGGAGATCGACGTCCCGTGGCTGAAATTCAGCACTACAAAACCCGCACCCAACCCAGCCGCCCCAGCCTACACCTGGGTAGAGTTTGTGCTGCTCTGCCAGGGCTTGGGAAATCGAATGTCAATCAAGGAAGACTGATGTGTGGTTTGTGTCGACGTTCAGGTGCGACTTCACATGTTGTTGAACCTTCGACCCTAACAGGCCGTAGACCACGGTCTCACGGGATGCGTTGCAGTTGCATGTGTGTTGCCACTAGCCGCTTCCACATGCCCATCGTTCCGCATGAAACTTGTGTCAGCCTGTTCCAGTCAGATGCCTCGAGATCAGATCCGCAGTCTGCGAGTTTAGAGTCAAAAAGCATTCCCAAGATCCAGTGATCTTCCGGCAAGAATGTCGTATCACCGGAAAGTACCGAAACGATCCTGTCACTGCAGACTCATTTCAGCCACGCCGATTAGACATGAACTCTTACAGATCTGCAATGTCTATCAATGTCGAAGTAGCTTTGCTCAGTGGGAGAAGTGTCGCCCTTCTTGCTGAGCTTGACTGGACCATCGGCCGCTTGCTGCTCGCGGCACAGCAACAGCTCAGAACTGGCCTGGATCAGCTTTATGCACAAGACGGGGAGCTGCTGAACCAGGCGAGGACGTTGGAAGAATCAGGACTGCAATCCGGCAATATCTTGCAGGCGAGCGTCAGGCCGAAGCGGCTGGCTTCCTCAAGCGCCGACTTCGTTTTGCTTTGTGAGACTGGATCGGTGGTAGCCTGCAGTGAAGTCTGCCTCGGAAAGACACTGCTTCCACACGGCAGCTTGGTAGATGTGCTGCACATCCAGGACCGGCATCAGACTTCATGTTTAAGTTTAGGCATTTCTCGTGTATGTACAAGCAGTATAACATACATACATAATATATACATAGAAAGACAGACAGACAGACAGACAGAAAGACAGACAGACACACAGACAGACA